TTTTTTTTTTTTTTGGTACCGGGGATCGAACTCGGGTCCTCGCGCTTGTGGGGCAGGTGGCAAAACCACTGAGCTAAATCCCCGGCCCTCAGCAATGATTCTTAACTTTGGCTGATCATTATATTTACCTAAGAAATTTCTAAAAGTATTTATGCCAGGGGTGAGGTGGCACACGCTTGTTATCCCAGCACTTGAGAAGTTGAGGCAGGAAGACTGCCACAAGTTCAAGACTAGATAGTGAGCTCAAGGCTAGCCTGAACTACATAGTGAGACTCTGTCTCAAAAATAAAAACCAAATAAATAAAAATAAAAATACCTACCCCAAGGACCAACCTCCCTATCTAGTACACAGGCCTTTGTGCATATTAACCTACCCACCCTTAGGATCTCTACTCATTCATCTATCCTTCAGAAAAGCCTTAATTAAGTAGATCTCTCTGCTAAACATTTCCATACATAGTACTACATACTTTCTAGATTCTTAGGCTATAAGTTTAAAGTACAAGGAAATAAATACAAATCCATAACAGATTTTTTATCATGTCACCACCACACCCATTAGATTAGTCTTCTCAGAAGGTCAATCTTATGTCTTTTTCATCTTTGAATCCAAAACTGTATTAAGTCCAATTGATGTTTGTTAAACTAAATTTTAATCATTAAGCACAAGAAATCTCAAGAAAAGAAAATTATTACCATTTCTAAGGTGATTTCCTCCAAGAGCTTGATCTAACATTAGATATTCAATTTAACAAGGAATATCCTTAGTTTCATAGAAATGATCCATTAGAAATGATACATTTAAATGGTTCAAAATATCTAAATGGTACCATAACAAGACCCTGTTTAACCAGGACCTACTGCACTATACTTTATAATTACTAATCTTCAGAAAAATTCTGCAAGGTAGAAATAGTGTCTATTTTATAAATAAGGAAATGGAAACTCAAAATTAAGTTACACTAGAGTTTTCTCAGAGTGAGAAAGCACAAAAGCTGGGCTTTTACCTAGGACTCTAACTCTAAAGCAAGCCTTTCCCCTATACCAGTACGGGGAACCTATAGCATGAATGCCACAACAGCCTGTTTATCATTGGAAGCTCTGAAAGGTCCACCATCACTGCCCTATACAATTCCCTGCCTTGTGAACATTTCCCAAATACTAGACAGTCATTCTAACAGAGTCTATGCAACTAAGACTTTGGTCAGCCTGACAAAATAGTATTTTTGTTGTTGTTGTTTTGTTCTTGGTTTTTTTTTTGAGACAGGGTTTCACTATGTAGCCCAGGCTGCCCTTGAACTCTCAGAGATCTTCCTGCCTTAGCTTCCTAAGTGGTAGGATTACAGGCATGTGCCACCACACCTCCAGCTAAAATAACACATTTTTAAGATCTAACCTTTAAATGTCCTTCGCCTGTGAGGAATTCAGAGTAACCAGCATCAGTGGCCAGCAAACCTACAAACTGCATGCTGGGCCGTTGTTGTATAAAGGCTTCAACAGCTTTATCTGTCACATGTTTTCTCCCAGAAACATCCAGAGAGACAAGACTGGGTAGGATGTCCTTCTGTTCTAGTAAGCGAAGAGCTATGTCTGATGTAAACTGTTTATCATCTGAGATATCAAGATGATTCAGATGTCTGAGTTCCCGAACAACATCCAGGATCTGGGTAGTTGTCATTTTTAAACACTTCAAGTGGTGCATGGTTAGAGACTTGAGTCGGTCTCTGCAGGCCAGCAAAGCAGTGATGTCTGTGATTGAGGTGTTAGAGATATCCAGGCTCTCCAATCGTGGCAGCGACGCAACTTCAGCCAGGTCTTCATTGTAAAAGAGAACATTGGTGATGCTGAGAGCTCGAAGGCCAGAAAGCCGGCTGAAGCACCGCTCATAAGGATCCTCCAGGGAGAGAGTCAATGAGTTCAGCACCAAGCACTGGAGATTCTGCTGGATCCATTTGTTACTGCCAAGCCCACTGATAATATCAGTGATGGTGATGTCAGCATTCACACCTGTGGCATCGAGTTCCACTAACTTGTGGTGGCAGAAGGCTTTCCGGAAAGCAACAGCAGAGATCTTTGCTTTGCGAATGTAAGCTCGCTTTAAGCGCATCTGGTTGCCCCTAAAAATACCTACAGTTCCATCATTCAGTAGACCTGGGGAAACACAAGCAGCACTTTTACTTCAAAAAACAGCTAAAAGACAACAAAAATGCCCACCATGCTCTACATTTCCGACGTGTCCCATGCTACTGTATTTCATCTGAAACTTGTAATTCTGTGAAATGAGGGTATTACTCTTACCTATAATTTATAAGCAAGTAAGCTGAGGCTTAAAAAGTGGCTCTCCAAGATCATATAGCTAACAAGAGGCAGAATCGGGACTGTAGTAGACCATACTGAACTCAACTAGCATTTGGTTCTCCTCATCTCACTGGACACACAGACAGCTGTACTTCCCAGCCCTTCCTGCAGTTAGACGAGGACATGGCGAACCAGGAGTCTTCAGCTCTAGAGAGGACAGCTTTATGAAGGTGGAGCCTCCATCAGTCTGGATACTAAGATAACCTTGGAACAGAACCCTTGATGGGTTTACAGAGTTTATGTATCATGAGTGAGGTTTAAACTTTGTGTTAATGCATCTCTAGCCTAGACTTTAAATTCACTACAACATATTGTGATATAAACAAATATATATTATATTCAGCACACATAAAGTGCTTAAACACATTTTTTTTTTGGTTTTTTTTTTGGTTTTTTGGTACCGGGGATCAAACTCGGGCTTGCGAGGCAGGCAGCAAAACCACTGAGCTAAATCCCCAGCCCAGCTTTAACACATTTTTAAACCACTAGCCAGATCTAAAATCTATTAAAAGGACCTAGTAGTTATAGCCCCTCTCTTTTAAATGAATATAAATAAAGCAGACACAATAAACTCTTTAGGAAGTTCCTCAGAGACATACCTGCCTACCAATCAAGAGTGCTACACATTCTCTGGAGCCATATCTCAACAGCATCACATCAACTGAATAACATCTACTATGAAAGAAGCAACAGCCGTGCCAATAAAAGGCAGTCTAAGAACAGTCTGAGGTAAATGAGCAGTTGGGGCAGAATAAATAAAGCTTGATTTCAAGAGACTAAGTCAAGTGGCCCCTCAGCTAGCCCATCCTAAAGATGTAGACCAGGCTGCCAGGGAGCCACCCTCAAATCAGAACCAAGGTATTATTTAAAGGGAGTACTCTTCACTAATGGATGTTATCAATTATCGCTAGACAAAAAAACTTTATAAAAACTGGCACAATGGACAAAAATAAATGACATATTAAGAATCCCGCTACATATTGTAGAGCTGTGTTTACTAACACAGTAGCACTAACCACACAGCCGTTGAGCACTTGAATAGCCAGTATGACCCATCCCCCTTTCTTGTACTGGGGACTGAACCCAGGGCCTCCACATTAAGCTACATCCCCAGCTGCTTCTTTTATTCTCTATTTTGAGACAGGGTCTTGCTAAACTGCTGAGTTGTCCAAGCTCGGCTTAAACTTCCAATCCTCCTGCCTCAGCTTCCCAGAAAGCTGGGATCACAGGTATGCACCACTGTACCCAGGTCACGGTAAGCTTTAAGTGTAAAACACATACTGTGGGGCGTGGTGGCACATCTGTAATCCCAGCACCCAGGCAGGAGGATCACCGAGAGTTCGGGGCCAGCCTGGGCTACATAGTGAGTTCAGCCTGAACTATATGGCAAGACCTTCTCTCAAAAAAAAAATATACATATACTGTAATTTTGAACACATAGTACAACCAAAAAAAGGAATGTAAAATACCTCAATAACTTTATATCTATCACATGTTGAAATGATACAGATTTATATATATTGGTTTAAAGTATTATTAAAATTTGTTTTACCTGGGTAGGGATGCATGTTTGGGACTTGTGTGTGTACGTGCATGCATTGCTAGGAATGGAACCTATGGCCTCACCACGCTAGGCAAGCACTTCACCATTAAGTTATACCACCATCTCTTGTTTTACTTTTTTAATGTAGTCAACAGTAGATGTAAAACTATGTTTCTATTGGACAGTGCTATTCTAGAGTAAGTCTTTTAAACTACCTAAACTTTATCTCAGGGGGTAAATTTCATGATGGGGTTCTAGCTACTCAACAATTTTTTTTTTTTTTTCAGACAGGGTCTTACTGTGTAGTTCAGGCTGGCCTTGAACTCACTATGTAGCCCAGGTTGGCCTCAAACTTTCGGTGAGCCTCCTGCCTCAGCCTCCCGAGTGCTGAGATTACAGCCCTGCACCACCACATCCAGTCAATGAACAACTTTTTAACAATTACTGTAGGTCAAGCAGTATTAAATATTGTAGATGCAAAAAAACATATGCTTCTATACTCGATTTATAATTCCACAGAATAAAAAAAAAAGATGACCAGCCATAACAGAATGAGATGTATGCTCTACCAGTGCCAAGTACAATGTACCAAGAAGGCAAAGAAAGGAAGTGATCCATTCTGGCTGGAGATCTGGGACGGATTGGATGGAGGAGATAATGCTTGAGTAAGGCCTTCAAAGATGATAAAAGAACTCAAAGATGGAGAAAGAAAGTAAAAGCAGCATCAAAGGGAGAACAGACAGCATGAACAACGCCTTACAGATGTGAAGGCACATCACACAACTAGAAAACAGTAAGTAGTTCTATATTGCTTGAACATAAGGACAGAAATCAAAGGAAAGGAAAACCTGCAGCCCTGTTTCCCTGATAAATAGAAGAAAAACAGATATGAGTGATAATGTGGTGCATTTCTTGGGATATTAGTACACAAGTGGGGAGATAAGAAATGAGGCTGGGAAGGTGAGCTGTGGATAGATTACATGAAAGTTAAATAAAACAGTACAGCTGGGGACCTTGGGACCCAAAGAAAAACACAGCGGAATCCTGGGTGTTTTACTGGCCATGTATCCCACACCCAAAGTTGAAGCTAGCACCACAGGAAGCACCAATGAGCACAGACAAGCTCCAAAATATCTGCTCATTCTACCCAAAGTACCAGACGGAGCCAGCAAAACTGGAAATTTTTGGACAGTAAGTTCTCTACTTCAGCTGAAGACCACAGCGGGTAAAAAAACTGTGACACCAAGGGAGCCTAGGTTTCCACCCTCACAAGGTTGTTAATTACCCGCCCCAACCTCCCCACAAGGGAGGCGGCGTTAGAGAAGCCTAAGGAGCCAGGACTTTCACCCCTACCATCTGCGATAGCTGACAGCATCCCTACCTTCGCCCCTGTGATGTCAGTGGATACCATCTGGGCAGCCCTGACTGATATCCACCTAGCAGTATCGAAGTCCTTCACTCTCCTGGTCGGAGTAATGTCACCGGAAGCCTGGTGACAAGTCAGGACTTTCACAGTGGCCTAGCAGTAATGAGATCACTTGCTCCCAACATGGAGTCCATGATGGTGAAGCAGAAATGATGCACTCACCTACCCCTCAGCTAGAGGTGTCCCTGGAATCCTAGTGGGGAGCCAGAGCACCAACTCCTACACAGCAGTGACAAGGCCGTGCTCCTGACTGCCACTGTCACAGTCACAAATTTAAATAGGAGAACACAGTATTCAAGACATCCAGTTTTCTATCAAAAATTACTCACCATACCAAAATAGAAGAAAAGATTACAATAGATGTCAAGTGAGGTAACAGAAATTTTTAAATTATTTGATAAAGATTTAAAGGAATGATGATCAAAATGCAAATACATTTTCAAAAGTGACCAATTATATCCGCCGCCTGCCTCGCAAGCACAAGGACCCAAGTTCAATCCCCGGTACCAAAAAAAAAAAAAAAGTGAGCAATTACAAACATGCTTGAAACAAATGAAAAGCAGGAAACTTCAGCAAGGAAACAGAAAACATAAAGAAGAACCACATGAAAAATTTTACAACTGAAAAATACAAATAATGTTTGGGCTCAAAAGCAGATTGAGGGAACAGATGGAGAAAAAATCAGTGACCTAGAAAGATAAAAGAATACAAATATCCAAATTTAGGCAGTAGGAAAAAGTACACTAGAACACTCCCCCCCCTCAAATAAACATCCAAATCTATCTGTGTAACTGGAATCCCCAAGGAAAGGAAAGAGGGTGGGTTTCAAGAAGTACTTGAAGTAATAATGTCAAAAAAATTTCCAAATAAGGCAAAAGACAGACTATACATTGAATAAGATGCATGAATGACAATCAAAACAAACCCAAAGATACTCAAACCAAAACATGAACTCTAAAAACAAAAATCTTGAAAGAAGTTGGAAAGAAATGACACTTCCTCTATAAATTTAAAAAAATTGTTTTTTTAAACAGTCTTGTTATGTTACCCAGGATGACTTTAAACTTGGATCCTCCCACCTCAGCCTTCCAAGTAACTGGGATCGTAGGCTTGCACTACTGTGCTTGGCTCTTTTTCTACTTTATTATGAAAAACTTACAAATAACAGAAAAATTAATGAAACAATGTTTTAAAATAGTAACCAGATCTGGCAACTTGTTCTCTTGTACATTCTCAGCAGTACCACTCTGGCATGTTTAAAATAACTCAGAACTGGTTTTGGTAACTAAAGCAGGTCATCACATTGGGGCAATACAAGTAGGGGCAGCAAACTACTCTTTGACCCTCAGTTTCCTCAGTGGAAGGCAGTTTGAACAGAAGAGTTAGAAAATATATTTTGATCAATCATGTAGCCTTCCTAAAATATCATTCTGAGGGACAATTATTTAACTGTATTTATTTAAAAGTCACTTTCATTATTTTATCCACATAAAACATTTGCCACAGTGCATAAAATGTAATAAGTATCCAATAAATGCTAGCTGCTATCATTAGCTATGATTAGATATATTTCAAAAGAATAATTCAATCTGGCAAAGTTAAAACTTTAGTTAACACTTATTTTTTTATTTACTAGTTTTTTAATTGAATATGCTGAGCAAAATAATTAAATTCAGATTAGAAAAAAATATTAGCACCAGCATAATCTCTTAAATTGTTGTGCAGTTTTATAGGGGACTTTTTTATTTTTTGGTACTGGGGATTGAACTCGGGTCCTTGCACTTGTGAGGCAGGCGCTGGAACCACTGAGCTAAATCCCCAGCCCTGTAGGGGACTTTTAAACATGTATAGTACTCAATGAAATTTACCCTGGTTCCTATAGAGGATTGGAAAAATTCAAAGAGCTGATAGGCTTGAGCAAACTAGTGAAAATCAAGGAGTATAGAGGTCTTCTTTCCTAAATTATTCAAAAAAAACCCCCTCAATTATAGCCATATTTTCCCCTACTCTTCCCTGGAATGCGTTATCTGCACACATGCTTAACAGTGTTTTTCATATAAAGCCACAGCAAAAGTGGCACATAGAAGCAGGGGTGGCTCAACTGTAGGTGCAGTGCAGGAAGCTGTGTGGCACAGTGGGAAGAATGTATGTTCATAAATAGGCAGACCTGCACCTGAACTATTCACTAGCACTGTGACCGGCAGGAAGTTACTGCTCTGAACCTCAGTTTCTTCATCTGTATATGAATGGGGTTCATAATGGCTATACTGTAAAATGTCTGGCACAACACAGGCAATCCATAAATGATAGCTATTATTATTGCCAAATTTTCATTCTATTTTACTTTTTTTTTTTTTGTACCGGGGATCGAACTCGGGTCCTTGCACTCTATTTTATAGCTATGAACAAGTTGTATTTCCCACTTTTAAGAGTTTGTAAGATATAATAAAGGTGTATCTCTTGTATTTAAAACATATAAAAATAAAAAAAGACTCAATATACACGACTATCATTTCAGATACTTCTCAATTTAGAATTTGTTTTAGAAAACACAAGTATTAAGTTATCCATGGTTTCCCATGTTAATAATCAAAACCAGAAACTAGTTTTTTCATGATAGTACTGATTCTCCCACTGTCAAATGAAGACAAAGATATTTTATACTCAAGGATTTCTAAATGGGTATTTTTTGTCCAGCTTAGAAAAGAAAAATGCTTATTCTAAATTACACAGTAAGAGGCAGGATAAATAAAAATAAATAAATTCCTTTTCCTAGAATCGGGTTTATCTGGTCTTTTCTGTTATTTCTAAGAAAATAATTAAATGGCCATAGTAGTACTTCAAAATCCATTACCAATTAATAGCACATAATTTTTGTCTCCTCTGGTTATGTCTTACCATGAAATGCCATGGTCTGAAGCAGTCGATCAGCCACCTCTTGTGGAAATACCCCAGGTTCCTGCAGACACAATGTTCCATCTTGCCTTGCTGAACAGAATTTCTCAAGGTGAGTGGTCAGGAAACTCAAGCAGATATCAAGTAAGGAATAAGGAGATGCCTCCTCCTTGGAGCCCAGGAAGAAACATGAAGGGAACACAAAAGGAACAAGTTAATTTCCAAAAAAGGAGAGAACAAAACATTCTTTTACTCCTCCAATAAGAAAGTGATAAGCAATGGATACTGTTAGGCAGTGAGAGGACAGTGTTTGAGCCACGCTCCTGGAAGGAAGAGAAGTACCAAAACAACATTTACACACTGCTCAGGACCTGTAACACAGGATGGACACACTGTATGGGGTACCATGTAAGCACACAGGAAGTTCTAACTATCAGGAATGGTTGGGGAAGGCCTCAGGGGCATAGCAAACTGATCCTCCTAAACTCTCTCATGACTCCCCTGGGCTTGAAGACAAAGGACAAAATTTTTGGATAGATACACTGATGTCCTCCCAAAATTTAATTCTAATTTACTTTTCAGCTTAATCTCCCACAAAATTCTTATTTCCAATGTGATTATTCAAATATGGTGAGTTTATCTGGATAAAAGAATTTAGTATAGATGTTATCCTCAAAAAAGAAAAGGTTGGGCCGGGGATTTAGCTCAGTGGTTCTGGTGCCTGCCTTGCAAGGGCAAGGTCCTGAGTTTGATCTCCAGTATCAAAAAAAAAAAGAAAAGGTTTGGCCAGGCATGGAGGCACACAACTATAATCCCAGCACTTGGGAGGCTGAAGCAGGAGGATCACAAAACCCTGTCTCAAAAGAAAAAATAGAAAAAGGGCTGGGAATTGTAGCTCAGTGCAAAAGCCCCAAATTCAATCCCAAGAAAGAAAGGAGGGGAAAAGGAGGAGAGGGGAGGAGGAGGAAGGAAGGGTTTAACCCCGTCATTTCAGTCCAAGGAATAATAATTTTTAAAAAACTAATAAATTAGCAAAGATTTAAGGGCTTTAATTATAAAAATAAACACTTTAAATGTCCTTAATTGTGTATTGTGCTCTGTATGACTATGCTCAATATTTTACAAGAATTATCCATTATTTCATTTATTCCTCATCTTTATTTTGAAAAGTAGTCAAATATTTTCATTTTCATATAACTGAAAACAGGCTCAGAAAAATAGCATCTTTCTCACCATTTTACATTTATTAAGTGACAAAATGGGCTTCAAAACAGGAGTTGGTGGGGCCGGGGATTTAGCTCAGTGTTTCTGCCACCTACCTCGGAAGCTCAAGGACCAGAGTTCGATCCCTGGTACCAAAAAAAAAAACAAAACAAAAAACAAGAGCTGATTCAGGAGTACAACTCTTACCACATTATACAGCATATATGACTTTTTTTTTTGGTGGTGGTGGTGATTTTGTGAAACAGGATTTTGCTGTGTACCCCAGGCTAGCCTTGAACTCGCCATGTTGCACAGTCTAGCCTCAAACTCACAGATCTCCGGCCTCAGCATCTTGAGTGCTGGAATTACAAGCATTTACTACCACACCCAGCTGCATATGTAACACTTTAATGACTGAATAATGTGAAGCCACTAAAAATGTTTATTTCTAATATATGCTGTATTAATCACATTGAAAAATACTCAGCGTACATGATTAAAAAATAATTTATCAAACTTCCTCAACCTGAGGAAGGCTATCTACCAAAAAAACCAGTTACTTAATAATAAAAGTCCCGGGCCGGGGATTTAGCTCAGTGATTTCGGCGCCTGCTGCGCAAGCGCAAGGACCTGAGTTCGATCCCAGGTACCAAAATAATAATAATAATAATAATAATAATAATAATAATAATAATAGTCCCAATGTTTTCCCCCTAAAATCAGGATCAAAGCAAGGATGACTGCTATCACCATTTCAATTCAACATTTTACTAAATTTTAGTAAGAAATTAAATAGGTAAGAAAATAAATGGTACACAGATTTGAAAGAAAGAAGTAAAACTATCTCTATTTTTAGGTGACATGGACTGAGATACAGAAAATCCAAACAAGTTTTTAAAAAGCCATCACAGTTAATTAAAAGATGAGTTCACAAGATTGCAGGTTAGGGGCCGGGGATTTAGCTCAGTGTTTCCATCACCTGCCTCACAAGTGCAAGGTCCCAAGTTTGATCCCCAGTACCAAAAAAAAAAAAAGGAAGAAAGAAAGAAACAAGATTGCAGGTTACAAGATCAATATTAAAAACTCTTTTGCATTTTTTTTTACAGAAATTGATAATCTGATCCTAAAATGAATATGGAAATACAAGAGCCCTAGAATAGCCAGAACAAACTGGGAAAGAATGAACAAAGATGGAGGACTCACATTGAAACCTTACTATAAAAATACATTAATCAAATAAATCAGTGTGAGCCGGGCATGGTGGCACACACCTATAATCCCAGCACTTGGGGGGCTGAGTCCGGAGGATCAAAAATTAGAGGCCAGTCTAGACTACATAGTGAGATTCTATTTAAAAAAACCAAAAGAAAAGTGAAAAAACAAGTGGCATTAGTATAAGGACAGACACAGAGACCAATGGAAGAGAAGTCAGAATCCAGAAATAAACTCTTACACTTAGGGTCAAATGCTTTTTCAACTAGGGTGTCAGGACAATTCCCTGGGCCAGAGAAGAGGCAAGCAGTGCTGGGACACTTGGAATCCACGTGGAGAAGAATGAAGAGTCTGATTTCACACCATATACTATAAAAATTACCTCAGAATGGATCGGTGAGACCTAAAACTATTAAACTCTTAAGAGGAAAACAGGTATAAATCTTTTTTTTTTTTTAAACAGGTATAAATCTTACTGGCTTCAGATTAGTAAATGGTTTATTAAATACAAGTGCACACACAACTAAAGAAAAAGCAGGTATGTTGGACTTCATCAAAATTAAAAACTCTTGTAGTTCAAAGAATACAACAAAGTAAAATGACAACCCACAGAATGGGAGAAGATATTTGCAAGTCACTTATCTAAAAAGGAACTTGTGTCCAGACTATTTAAGGGACTCTGGCATGGTGGTGCTTGACTGTAATGCCAGCACTCTGGGAGGCTGAGGCAGGAGGACTGCAAGTTTGAGCCCAGGCTGGGAACTTGGCCAGACTGTCAATCAGTCAATCAATCAATCAATCAACAGGGCTGAAGATGTTACTACAGTGTGAGGTCCTTGGGTTCTATCCCCAAAAACCTCTCTTACAAATTCAGTCATAAAAAAGCAAACTAAAAATAGAGACCTAAATAGACACTGCTCTAAAGAATTACAAATGACCAGTGAAAGATGCTCAAAATCATTCACCACCAGGAAAATGCAAATCAAAATCTCAATGAGCAGCCAGGCATGGAGGCACACACTTGTAATCCCAGCACTCAGGAAGCTAAGACAAGAGTATCGCCGTGAGTTTGAGGTCAACCTGGGCTACATTATATATTCAAGGACAGTTTGAATTACAGAATGAGGCCCTGTCTCAAAAAAAAATGTTTTTTTCAATGAGCTACCACTCCACAATCACTAGAATAGCTATAATCAAAATCATGGCCAATAGGAAAGGTTGTAAAAATGTTGCAGCTGTCTGGGAAAACAGGTAGCAGTTCATCAAAATACTTAAACAAAGAGTTGTCATATGATCCAGCAATTTTACTCCTGGGTATAAACCTAAGAGAAATGAAACTGCCCATATAAAAAATTTGTACATGAATATTTATAGAAACATTATTCATAATAGCTTAAAAACAGAAAGGGTGGTCTAAGCTGTTTTTACTCACATTACTGCCACCAAATGTGAGGTTTCCTCAGCACCAGAGTTCTGATCCCCGTGGGTATTACAGTTCAATTCAATTCCAACACTACCCAGAATTGGTGCAGACCCACAGGTTAATGGCTCAGCTCCACACCACTGCCCACACTCCCAACACCAGTCCTAAGTTCCAGGTTCCCCCTGGTACTCAGCTATAAACTGGGGGTGTCCATGATCCCCCTGAAGAGGGCCTTGAGTTCACTTATTTGCTAAAATAGCTCACAGAATTCAGAACTCTTATAATAGCTTAAAAACAAAAGTAACTTTACTTACCACTAACCTCCAGGAAGGGAGGAGTGGCTGAAGGGTAAACTACTGGTCAGGGTTAACAGTTTAATCGATCATGCATACATAATGAAACTTCTGTAAAAAAAAACCCTGGAGTTTGGAGAGCTTCCAGGATCCTGAGCATGCAGAGGAGCTGGGAAGATGGCTAGCAGGGAGGCTGCAGAAGCCTCACACCCCTGCTTCCAAAATGATCATCTCTTCCAAATCACTTTTCTTAGGATCTTTTAAAATACTCCCTGTAATAAACTGCAGTACTCAGAGGCTTCTGACCCAAGAGAAGATCCTCAAGAGCCAAGTTCCAGAACTGGCTATTTCTCAGGACTGATGAGCTGCCTGTGTCCACCTGACTGACACTGAGATGGATCTTTTTTTTTTTTGGTACTGGGGATCAAACTCGGGAACTTGTGCTTGCTAGGCAAGCACTGGAACCACTGAGCTAAATCCCCAGCCAGACACTGAGATGATATTCCCATATAAGATGCACCATAAGCTGTCTCCTGGCAGTGCCAGGCAAGAGGGTCACGGACAGAGACTTCTCGTCTTCCGCCATGCTGCACAAAAACCATTTCTTTTCCCATTACTCTATCTCTGAAGTTACCGGCTCTTTTGGATGGCAGCAGAACCAGACCTTTTGTGATAACAAGGTGTCTGGAAATCCACAGATGGTAAAGTTCAGAGTCAGGATTATTCAAACCAAAAAGTCTGCCTTAAGGGTCTGTGTCCTTATCTACCACAATACACTAAGAGTGTGTGTGTGTGCGTGCGTATGTATTTTCTGGGGACTGAACACAGGGCCTCATGCTCTACCATTGAGCTGCATCTCCAGTCCTTTTTTTTTTTTTGAGACAGGGTGTCACTAAGTTGCCCAGCCTGGCCTCAACTTGAGATTTTCTAGCTTCAGCCTCCTAGGTAGTTCAGATTACAGATCTGTACCACCACATCTGTCTACCATATTATACTACCCTTTAAAACTTTTTTTTGAGACAAGACCTTGCTATGTAG